GCTGCTCTCACTTCCCTTTGCTGGTTTGCTCTTTGCTTTCTGTGCCTGGGAAGGATCGGATGAGTGATCGGTTGATGTTGATTGGTGGACCAGTACATGGGTTCAAGTTCTACATCCCTGACCTTGGCTCTGGTTTCTAAGGAAGGAAGAGAGAGTGTTGGGCTTACACCGTAGGGCATCTCCAGTTGATAGCAGCTCCATGGGCTTCTTCCAGCCAAGCACTCATGGATGGCGTTCCTGAGAGTGTAGCTCATTGCTTGTTGGCTCAGTTACCACCATAGCTGAACACATATGGGCATTTGGGTTGAGCTTCTTCCTTGGCACATTCTTTACATGCTGGCTTTACCATGCAGAATGTGCAGTTCCAGGTGCTTGAGCTCAACACCAAAAGGTCAGGGCCATTGATGGGGTCAATGATGGCAGAGGTGGCCACAGAGTCAGAAGGAAGCTTATGGGTGCTGGCATTTGACAAAATATCTGTGACTACGATAAAGCAACCAGAACAGACCTTCTAATTCCTTTAAACTAGTTCTAGAACAGCAGCAATCAAGGCCTAGTTCCCTAATTTTTCCAAATGGCGGGTGCCTGGGCAGCAAGGCTGGAATCAGGAGGAGGCAGGCAAAGCTTCATGGAGCACATGGCAGTAAGGGGTCTGCTTTGGGCTCCACCCCAGGGGCACCCCACACATCTCACACTGGTCCTGTTAGCTGGCACAGTATAAACATTGTCCTTCATTTTGATCTCCCCACTCTGGTACAGGAGATTCAACACAGGTCGTGCACATGCTGGTCAACCACTCTAACACTGAGCTATACCCTCACTCCCTGGCCCCGTCTAGCTTTGTGGTTTTTTTTTTTTTTTTTTTTTTTTTTTTTTTTTGAGTCAGTCTTGCCAAGTGGCTAAATTGCCCAGGCTTGGCTCAAATTTGAGATCTTCTTGCCTCAGCTTCCGAGAGTGCTGGCATTGAATCATGCACCACCATAGCTGACCCCTTTTTTTTATTTTTTATTTTGAGACAGAATCTCATTAAATTGCCTAGGCTGAGCTCAAACTCTTGATCCTCCTGCCTCAGCCTCCAGAGTAACTGCGATTACAGGTGTGTGCCACCACATCCTGCTTCATTTTGGTCTTGAGAAGTAAACTAAGAAGATACAAATCCAACTGAGGTTTGCAGCCACTTGAACAGTTCTTTGTTAGAGGCCCGCAGTGGAGGCTGAACTAACAATGAGGAATTCATATTAGCAAGAAGCAAAATATGGAAGCCCGATTGCTCACTTCCTATGGGACAGGATATTTGCCTCAGCAGAGAGCTTTGGATTATAGGAAGAACTTTTTCAGGGTCCTAAAGCATTTGTGATCAGAGCCCTCTGTTGGCATTAGGTTAGTCCATAGACTAAGGATACGAAATTCTCTGCTGGTGGCTTTGACTTAAATCCACTGGCCAGGGGCTGAGGGAGGGCCAAGAATCTAAGCTTCCTGTCCCTTGGCTGGGTCGGTCTGAGCTCCTGCAGGTCACCTCAGGTGTCAGCCTACCTCCTGTGCCTTTACCTGCTACCTGGGGAATGCTGGGCTCCAGGTCACCAGTCTGCTGGCTTCCACCTGTGGGCTCCGTCAGCCCTTCCTGATAGAGGAATCTGTTGGAATGAGTGCATGTGTTACCAGCATAGAAAATGCACATCTAGGCTGAAACCAGGACAGCCCAAATGAACAAAATTAAAAGCTCCGAGGAACAAGCTGACCTAGAAGACACTTGTCCCAGCACTACCCCCGGCCTTCTCCTTTCTTCCCTAGACCCTAGATTGAGAGGAAGGACTCAAACCTAATAAAATCCTTGGCTTTACCCCTGTCTCCTGCAGATGTTTAGGGGAAACCCTGAGATCCTGGAAAGCTGGGTTCTCCTCGAGGATCCTCCCAAGGGCTCCCACAGGAGGGAGGATAGTTACACAAATGACGTGGTATTCACAGATAATTTCCCTAAGCTCAGTACACAACCTCCCCAGCCCACTTTTTCAAGTTAAAAGCCTTTTTATGGCTCTCTTGAGAGCAGCCGCTTCTGGATTTTTCCTGTCCTCTGTGCCATCTTCTCCCTCGGGCACTCTCCCCAGCCCAGGTCTCTGGAGAAGGAGCCAAGCAAAGCCAAGCAAAGACAAGGAAGAATTGGAGAGAGGAAAGCAGGACTGTTCCCCTCCAGACAGGGTTGCTTAGAGGGTTAGCTGCTGACCTCACCTCTGCCCCAGGCGCTGGGTGAGGCTCCTTCCAAATCTGTAACCCTGAGTGATTACACTGTAGACTGTGGGACTCTAACTCAGCTCACAGAGAGGCTCTTGATTTGGAAGTTTCTCAATTCCTAACCCCCTATCCCTTTCTCTTCTGCCTCTGATTGTGACTTCTTTTAGAAGGAGTGGATTCACTTACTACATCTTTGCAATATCCACTGGGGGCTGGACTATTTTCAGATGAGGAACCAAAGATTCTGAGTGTTTAGTTCAAAGCTACACGCAGTTGCTTATGGGTCTCGATTTGTCCAACTCAAAAGTCAATGTCTTTTTATGCCTCAGTTTCCTTAATTAATTAATTTATTTATTTATTTTTGTGCCAGGGATCAAATTCAGGACCTTGCGCTTGCAAGGCAGGCATGTTGCCACTGAGCCAAATCCTCGCCCCAAGTTTCTTTATTTGTAAAGTAGGGGTGTTAATAGCATGCACTTCTAGGGTTCATGGGAGGAGCAGATGCTTTAATATGTGCCAAGTGTTTGAAGCAGTCCTGGAGAGAGACACACACATGCTTCTGTCACGCGTGGCAGTCATAGGGATCTCACAAAAGCCTATGTCCTCCTGCTGGGACTTCCAGCCTCCAAATCTGTGAATTGAATAAACCCCCTTTCTTTCTAAAACATAAACAAAACCCAGGGTCTACTACATGGAATGTTCAATAAACGTCCACTAATATGGTGCTATGCCTTCTGTTTGTTTACTGTTTCAAGCCCTGAACTCCTGACTCCTTCATGGGAGGAGGAGCCAGCTTTGAGACTTGGGGTGTGTGAGGGAAGAGGGGAATGAACCCCCATTGTTTCCCAGCTCCCAGCAGGTTGAGGTGAGAGTAGAACAGATAATGTAAGCAACAGGACTGAGCTGCCTGCCTGAAACTTTCAGACACAGGTAAACTCATAAAGGGGAGGGGTGACCCCTCTGCACAATCCTGAGCGCAGGAAGAACAAAGACTCCCTAACTGAGCCAAGATTATATGGCAACTTTCTACTCTGGTTGCTTCTTGCCTTTTATTGTACCTTTACCAAGCAATTACAGTATGAGGCAGAACCAGTATGTAGAAGGGACTCCGGTTCCCTCCCGAAAGGGTGTGTCTGGGAGCCTTCTAGAGGGAAGGGCTGCAGGGAGAACACTGGACTCAGGCATGGAGCCCTGGGGCCGGGAAAGCGCTATCTGGGGCAGGGATCTGCCCTGTAGCTCAGCCCCTCTTTTGCATCAGTCACTGTAAATGACAGGGCTGGATGTGGTGGCATAGGCCTGTAATCCCAGCACTCTGGAGGCTGAGGCAGGATTGCTGAGAGCTCCAGGCCAGCCTGGGCAATTTAGCACTGAAAATCAAAAATAAAAAAGGGCTGCGTATGTAGCTTATGTGAAGGCCCTGGGTTCAAGTACACATAGGAATAGGTTCCTGCTACCTTGGGAACTTCGTAGAAAACCAAGGCAACCCTGTGGGTAACTTTGGCACCAAGTCAGTTGGCTATTGCTGAAAAGAGGACGACAGACAATGCAAATAGAACTAGGAAAGAGGTAGATCCTGTAAGATACCTTGACAAACTTAATCAAGGGAATTAGGCACCCCAAACTCTTGATGCTGTTGAAAGTTGTTGGAAGTCATGTTCTAACAGCTGCAATTTTTGCTGATCAGTCTGTCTTCTCAGAAAAAAAAAAAAAGAAATCCCAACCCACAAATAAAATAAAAGGTTGAAAACACAAATGTCTGTAATTAAGCTTTGTAATGACGTCTGCGCCGAGGCTTCCCCCTGTTTCACGTGTTTATCAAGGGAGTCCTGGGTGTGCCCTGCCTGACCTGGTCCCTTGTGATGGCTCCTCATTCGCAGACCACAGCAGGTCTTTTCAGTTTCCAAGGTCCAGGGAGAGGGTGAATATCTGCATTTTATCTTGAGTTGATGGCTCTCCTAACTTCCGTGCTACCCGAGCTGACCAATGAGGACATAAGCACCACGTATAGAGTTCGGAGCAATACGAACAGACCTAAGGGACCAGGGAAGGCCACCTGGTCACCAGCGTTCACTGGTCTCCCTGGGACTAGGACTTTGGGGAGCATTTGGTCCAGGCACAGAGGAGGGGTACGGGAGGACTAAGCCTCCGGAGCCCACTTCATCTGCTCCAACAAGGGAGGCCGTGGGCCCCCTCCTCTCGCGCCTCTGTGCCAGGTTTCTGAAGGCTGACAGCAGCTGGGGGTCTGAGAAGCAGCGAGGAGGGGGATGCGAGTGGGGATGCTGGGACAAAGACCTGCGAGTCAGGCCGGGCCTCGCGGGCCGCAGGAGGAGGCGGCTCCCTTCGCGGTAATCCGAGTCGCGGAGGGGGTGACGCTGTGTTCAGTCAGCTCGGCGCAGCTCCGGCCGGCCCCACCCCGGCCCCGAACCCGGGGCCGAGTCCCCGCTGCTAGTTCGGCCGTAGCCTCAGCCCTAGGCACGCGCTGCAGGCCCCGCCCCTGCTAGCCGTTCATTGGCTGGATGGGCGCGGGCGCTCCCGCCCCGCCGCGTCATTGGCTGAGGTGGCCGCGGACCCCGCGCGAGTTGCCACTGACATCACACGGCCTGAGGCAGCGGCGCCCCCCGGCCCAGCCCCGCAGCCGCTTCTGCAGAGGCGCCGCCGCGGTGACCGGCGGAGGATGGTGCGTGGTGCGCCGAGGGCTCCCAGCCGCCACAGCCGCACTGCCGCAGCCCAGCCGGCCGCGGGGGGCAGCCGACCCCTGCACGGGGCGCGGGGCGGGCGGCGGCGGTGAGGCACGGAGGGGCCCGCGGCGGCCATGGGGGCCCTGACGAGCCGGCAGCACGCGGGCGTGGAGGAGGTGGACATCCCGTCCAATTCCGTGTACCGCTACCCGCCCAAGTCCGGTGAGGCCGGAGGAGGGGCGCGGGGAGGTGGGGACCGCGCATCGGGATGCGACACGGTGGCGGTGGCGGCGGCGGCTCCGGAACGGGCTTGGGGGGGTGCGTCGAGAAGGCCGAGGGCCCCGCATTGCTCGGGATGCGGTAGGGGCTCGCGGGGTGACCGGGGTCACCCTCCGCTGGGGGACGCGAGTGGCTCAGTGATAATCCGCCCTGCGACAGGGACGCGCGCCGGGGGATGCGCGGCTCGGGGCGGTCGGCGCCGAGCATGGGGAACGGCGGTCCCAGTGGAGGCGGCCTCTGCCCCGGTGACGCGCACCTGTGCCAGGTGCTGCCCCCGGGTTGTAGCCTCCGGGCCCCCGGGAGGTTTGAACGAGTTTTCCCGTGGAAAAGCTCCCGTGGCGTGTTGGAGGAGGGAGGCCCAACTTGCGTTTCCAAGGCTGGTCGTTTTCCAGGGACTGTCAGAAGAAAACAGAAGTGTTTCCACAGAAACGTTTGGGAATCCGAGTCTGAGAGTCACTCAGATCGTCCTTTTGCCAGAAGAGCCGCAAGGTTGATTTTCGGCTTGGCATAGGTATGAGGTGTGGAGCACTGTGTTTGTTTTCAGACGCACCTTCAGTTCAAAGGGTGAATGCCTCCGTGGCCGGCCTGTGGCATCAGCACGGGAAGTGCAGGCAGGACAGCAGTGGAGAATCCCAGGATCGCCCATCCGAACTGCTGGCATGGGACCAGCATGTGCTCTTTATTTTTTAACTTGTTCTTTTCAAGACTTCTGGGGACCCATGGCTACCACCTCCTCTCCAGCTTGGGACCTCATAGGGGCCTGGGTGATCTCGGAGTGAGTTGAGGTGTCAGAATTGGAGTGGAGCCACTCGCCTTTTGGTAGAATAAAGACATGCTAATGAGAGGAGCTGGTTTCTCAGCAGCGCGCCCGCCCGGTTTCTGCCAGGTGAAAGCAGGGGCCAGACAATGAACCTGCCTCCCTGTGGAGTGTCTGCCAGAGCTCTGTTGCACACTGCTTTTGTGCCAGAGAATGAATCCTTCAGAGATGAGTGTGAGCAAGAGCTGCTTTAGAAAGATTTGAGATAGGGTTGTGGAATATCAGTGTTTTAACAAAGCTCTGGCCAACCATGACTGCAGGAGAAACAGTGCTAAAGAAGACATGCATCTTGTTTATTTGTTTATTTTTGTGGTACTGGGGATTGAACCTAGGGCCTTCATACTCAGCTACAACCCCAGCCCTTTTCTAATTTTGAAAATTTTGAGACAGGGTCTTCCTAAATTGCACAGGCTGGGCCTGAAATTGGGATCCTTCTGCCTCAGTCTCCCAGAGTACTGGAATTACAGGCATTCCTACTCCCAGCTAGAGTTTAAAAGGATGAAAGACATGTGGCGAAAATCTTGTTCTCACTGCTGTGGTCCATCTACCCAGTTCCCCTTCCTCTCTGTGCACCTCCCAATCATCTGTAACATTTGGTTTATTTGGAATTCTTCCAGGATTTTTTTTTTCTTTTTGAGACAAGGTCTCCCTATGTATTTCAGGTTGGCCTTGAACTCACTATGTAGCCTAGGCTGGCCTTCACTTTCAGTGATCCTCCTGCCTCAGCCTCCCAAGTACTGGTATTACAGGCATATGCCACCACACCTGGCTTTGTCTAGAGTTTCTTATACAAATACTGTACAAACAGCATACTATTAATACTGTTTACCCTTGTTCTTTCACTTTCAGAGTTATGAGAAATCTTTACTTTTTTTCTTTTTTTTTTGGTACTGGGAATCAAACTCGGGGCCTCGGACTTGCTAGGCAGGTGCTGTACCACTGAGCTACATCCCCAGCCCTAAGAAAGATCTTTTTGTATTGTCTCCATATTTGAGAGTTGTTTTTGGTTTTTTTTTTAATTTGAGAGTTTTTTGTTCAACAACTGTGTAATATTCCTTGAATGCATGTGTCATTGGTTTTTTTTTGTTTGTTTGTTTTTGTTTTTGATACTGGGGATTGAACTTGGGTCCTTGTGCTTGCGCAGCAGGCGGCGAAACCACTGAGCTAAATCCTTGGCCCCTGTCATTGTTTTTTTTCAGTCTCCTATTGATGAACTTTTTGGGTTTTTCAGTATTTTTCAATTCCAAACATGCAGCAATGAATAATGTTTCCCTTATGTTCTTAGGTGAATTTTAGCTTTGTTAATAAAAGATGAAGATCAACCATTGAAGTAACAGAAAATGTGAGGGTACAAAGCAGTTCTATACTAACTACTCACATTTCATTGTGACTTTTGGTGGGGTACTGGGGATCGAACTCTGAACCTTGGGCTTTTGAGGCAGGCATGGTGCCACTATGCTAAATCCCTGGCCTGTAACTTTTAAATTTTTGAATTAAATATCAAAGATGCTTTTAATCATTATCTAAAATCTTTGCTTCTTTAAAAGCCCATGTTCATTTGTTTGGCAAAGGTGTGATTTTGCTGAGATGGTTGTTTTTATGCATACATGCCCATTTTGTGACAGGAATATCCACAGTGATAAAGCCATTAGATCTGTATTCTGTATCCCAGAAGAAGTAGACATACTATAAAGGCAATTGAATTCACATAAATCAGTACCTCATAAATCTAGTTCATTTCTCTACACAGATTTGAGCAGATTGTAAAATGTAATAGTTTATTTTGTGAAGTCTTACAAGATAAAGTTTATATAAAAATTCAGAGTGGTAATCAAAGTCCTGACCAGTTAACATGGTTAAAACTTAATTTTTTTTCTTTAAGCTTTCAACTGATTGGATGAGGGTCCTTTACTCCTATTATTGAGAGTAATTTCCTTTGCTTAAAATCATCTGATTGTAGAAGTTAATCACATGTATATATCATTCTCCAGATTTTTGTTATATTGGAGTATGCATTTGCTTGTTAAATGAGTCTTCCCATGCCAAGAACAGTTTTTTGGTTTTTTTTTTTTGGTACTGGGGATCGAACTTGGGCCCTTGCTCTTGCAAGGCAGGCGGCGAAACCACTGAGCTAAATCCCCGGCCCTCAAGAACAGTTTTTTATTTTTTATCTTATTTATTTTTTTTAAGAACAGTTTTTTTGTTCTGTTCTGTTTTGTTTTTGGTACAGGGGATCAAACTCAGGACATTGTGCTTGCAAGGCAGGTGCAGTGCCACTGAGCTAAATCCCCAGTCGCAAATACTATAATTTTTATAAATATTTTTTTAAGCGTCTTCAAGTGCACCAATATATTTATTTATTTAGGTGCTAAGGGATAGATTCTAGAGCCTTGCACATGCTAAGCACATGCTCTACCACTGAGCTATACCTCCACCTCATTAGTATTTTAGTATTAGGGTTTTGTTTTTGTTTTTTTGGGTTTTTCTGAGACAGGGTCTTGCTTTGTAGCCCAGGCTGGCCTTGAACTCCCAGCAGTCCTCCTGCCTCAGCCTTCCGAGTGCTGGAATTACAGATGTGTGCCACATGCCTGGCTATTAGTATTAGTTTTTAACACTTAAAAGGTAAAATTCTCCTTTTGAAAAAACTCAGTATTTTTTTTTTTGTTTGTACTTTACTTGACTGAGTCAGGACTGATTAGTTTCAGTTCTTAATGTTGTTTTAAGATTTAGGGGCTTTGATTTCTTTATGTGATGGTGCTTTGTGTTCTTATGTTTTTGGCATCTCTTTTCTTACTTGTCACCGTTAACATGCATCACTGAGGATCTGCGATATACTGTTCATTGTGCTCCCACCAGTGTTCTTTTTTTCCCCATCCACTCATCCAGCAACTATTTATTGAGAACATATTCTGTCTTTAGGCTCAAGACAAGGGAGTAAGTAAAATTGGCAGTCTCGCTCTTCCATCCCAAATCCCTAGGAATGAGAGAATATATACTTTTTTAAAAATTGTGTATTATTATTATTTTTTTAAATTAAATTCTTTTATTGGTACATTGTAGGTATACAACACAATTACATTTCTCATTGGGAATTGTACCTTTATATAATGCATCTTGGTTCTTATTTTTTCCCCATTCCTAGCCCTCCCTTCACGCCCTCCACCCTTCCCTATTTACAAAGACTTTATTTCCATTTTTTCCATTTCTCATCATTTTTCCTTTCCCTTCTTTCCCTTCCCCTACCCCTCCTACTTCCCCTACCTCTTTACACCTTGTATTCCTATTTTGCATTATCAATTATTCATTTTACTCATTGGTACATTTTAGGTGTACAATATAATGACATTCATCATTGGAAATTTGCACCTTTACATAGTCTCTCTTGGTTCTTATTTTTCACCCTTGCCCAGCCCTCCCTTCAACCCCTCCATCCCTCCCTATTTACAAAGATTTTGTTCCTATTTTTCCATTTTCTCATATTAATCCCATTCCCTTCTATCCTTTCCCCTAGCCCTCCCACTTCCTTCCCCTTTGCCCCTTTTCTTCCCATTTCACATTACCTATTATACGTTCAGTCCCCATTTACACTTTCAGTTTCTCACACCAGAGAAACTATTCGGTATTTGAGAATATATACTTTTAACACTAGCAAACAAAGGCTATTTATTCACAGTGCATCAAGACCATGAGGAATCCCTGAGATATGGAAAGTAGGCAAAATCAGATCAATAAAGAAAGTACCCATAGAAGAATCACTGAAAAATGTATTCTAATCCTGTATGTGACAGAAGGAAGCCAGAGTACATACATGACCAAGCCAGTGGACAGTCACCAGGAAGATCATACAAGCAGCAGGATTCCTTCATTACTGCCTTCAACCCTTTTGGGTCAGGTAGTGGGCACAGAGATTTTTGGATCCTTGGGTCACAGGAGCAGAGCATTGCTCAGGCAGCAAACACAACCCAATAGAAGCAGTTCTATTTCTTCAACCCCTACTGGTTTCCTCTGCCAACACCAGGTGCCTCCATTCACTATGCTGGTAAGGCTGAAGTAACCCCTGGAGTACATATCAGTGTGTTGGTTCTTGTCCATATGTTCATGGTTTTAATGCCTGTGGCAGGTAGCA